TTTTATGGACATACATGCAGAGGCCTGTGATTTACATTCTGCCAACTACCAGCCAGACTGATGGCAAGATGCTCCGTACAATTTCAGTCTTCACCTAAGCACGGCACTGTGTGGACCGCCGTATTTGTATTCAAACAGCAAAATGCAGAACCAGATTTTCAGCAAAATGTAAATATACTTTTCATTTCCCAAAGTCTTGCATCACTGCCATCTGATAAACCCCATGATGCCATTTGTATCATTTGATACATAAGGGTTCTGAGAACTCAACACCATCAGGATCAGGCATTATCTGAAAAAAACACAAGTTTTTACACAATTTGGCCGATGTAGTGAATAATCAGGATATACAGTAGGCAGCTGTCTGACTTAACAAATTCAATATAAAAAGGAAAGTGGCCTTTTTGGATCATGTAGCAAATTTTGAGAAAGATAAGATCATTATTATTCCAATGAAAGATGTAAATTTCATAATACAACACATCTAATGATGAGCATTCAATCAGATGTTGAGAGCTATACAGTGAGTCAAGGAGGATGAGTAGAAAAGTACCACAATAAGCAGTTTTAAGACATTTTCTTTTTTTGATAAATAACCAATATAATATATCATTTTGAGGTGCACTGCCATCAAATGAGATGAATATATTGCAATGCAATACAATGCATGAGTCTATTACTGTATGTGTAAGTACAAAACAAAAATTAAAGAATGCAGTACATCATTTATAAAACATGTAAAATAAATCTGAGAAAACAAGCAATTCAGATAAATTCAGTTCTGTGAACACCTGAGGTATTATAAAAAATAACTCATTTAAACATCTCAGTTTTAAAAATGTATATTTAATATGTCTGGCTTTTCAGGGTAAAACCTCTTCTCAATGGTGCATTTTTCAACAGATGCTGTTTAATGTTTAGAAAATAATTATAATAATGCAGCATGTGATCAATATGTGATTTGAACTCGGCTAGGAGGTGGATGACTTTAACTGACAGCATCTGTCCCTCAAGGGGACTGTGGACATTTCTGAAGTGTAATTATTCCCTGACCTGACTTGCTTAACAAGTGTGAAGGACAGTTGTGTTATTAAGGGTGTTTATGTGCCAGACTATTTCATTGCCATGTTGTTGTCACTGTGAGGCAGGTAGTTATCAGGTAGTAGCATGAGATCGATAGATGGATGGATTTGGAATGTAGTAGAACACATTGTCAGTAACATGTGCAGCTGATAAATCTGGAGGCACTAGTCTATCTTATGTAGTCAAGTCAACACTGAGCCGAATCTCTGAGGAATTCTTTCCGACATCTTGTGGAATTCGTGCCTAAGGCTGTTTTGAGAGCAAAGGTTTACTCTGCTCATATGCTTATAATCATTAGCGAAGAAGCAGTGTAGAAAACATTCAGCGTCTTACTTCCACTTGGTGCTGAGTGTCACTGTCACCGGTTACAATAAGACACATACAGGTGGTTTGTTGAATTAGCTTTAAATAGTTGAGCTGTTAACAGGCCTAAATTGAACTTGGCTGTTGTTGGTTTGTATGCTCTCTGCACGCACGCTACTGTCAGTGCAGGTTGTGAGAGAACAATTCCCAGTCCGTAAGATCAATTTGCAACAACAAGTGTTTCATTGTACGTCACTGTTTCATTCTCCAATCATTAAATGAAGCTGTTATATCTTTGAACTATGACTTTTAGCATTTGGGACAAAAAGATGATAAAAAAATCAAGGTATGTTAGATGAACTGTTCTACAGATTATGTCTTTGTGTGCGATTCATGGAGCTAGTTCTGGGACCAGGAGCATTTAACTGCAGGAAATGATTAGACCCACTTCACTTGAAGCAGGACAATAGATGACATAACTGCGGGACCAACATACAGCTTAGTGGCGTCCACATAGCAAGAAATTAATTTATTATCAATGCACAATTTGTCTGAGCCGTAGCATGCACATAGAGCTTTATTCCTGTATCCCATTTATTCACTATGGGACACCGCAGAGGAGAGCAGGTAGTCATCCCCAAGCACAACAGAGAAGGACATGTTAGACAGACATGAGACAGACCAAGAGCCACATCACTGCTGCCAACATACAGTAGTTTTTCAGATGGCTGATGAAGACATTGGGGTCTAATTTTTCAAAGGCCAGAGAAAATTAAATTGGAGCCTACATCAGTGGTAAGTATTTAGTCTTAAGGTGAACTTCACTAGAGCGGTACCAGTGCTATGTGTTGAGGCATTTTATTTTTATAATATTGGCTAAAACTGGCAGCTTAGAGATGGGTCTAAATTACATTACCTCGACTAAAAACAGAAGAATCCTTATTTGTAGCTGAGTATAAAGGCTGTGATGTTGATAGAACCTTGAAGTATCAGAGCCAAGGCCAAGCTCACAATGCCATCTGGCTCCCCATATGAAATGGTGGAAGATCTGATGGTGTGCAGTATATTTTACAACTCTAATATAAAGCCCATTCACAAAGGCAACACTGTTGATCTCTTTTCCGCAGAGCAACAGTCAGTCGGTCAGGTGGCATTAGACTTTTGCCAAAAACACGGCTGGCACAGCGCAGCACAGGTCTTGACTGTATGACTCAGTAATCATTTTCATCCTGCACATTTGTTTTGATCAGGCAGAGTGGGCCCAGTTTCAAGGCTGCCTGTTTCTTGTTGTAGCGAGTGATTTATCTGACACGCGTTGGCTTATTGTTCCACTCCGGAGCTGAAGGGAATGCACCTACTCTAGATGACAGTGAATAACAAGGACCGGAGCACAATTCACATTCACCATCACCATGGTGATAGATGCTTTTGAAACACGCTTGGCGGCTTGCTCTGAAATAAAGAGTCCGATACCGAGCCCTTTAGGAGAGATGAAGGACAGAGGAGATATTTAAGCGTGTGAACACGGCCTTGTGACTGCAGCCACACCACCACCAGGCTGAGAGCTGCAGCTCAAAGCTCCAACACGGGACTGCACTTTATTATTGTCATTTTTTAGAGAGTCTGTTGGGGCCACTAAATAATATGGTAGCTAACTGGTGCTGCATACTAACTACTAATCACAGACTGCTGCTCCACCAGAGCTACACAATGATAATGTTTTCTAATCTGAACATGTTTTCCTCTCAGTGCTCAAGGGAGGGTTCATTTTAAGTGTTTGTGATAATATGTGTTATTAGTTGTTTTTTTTCTTTTTTTTTTTTTTTTTTTTTAAATTAGTCAAGCAGCATGTAAATCCTGCTTGCAGCATATAGGCTGTACCACAGGGAGGTTTGTAGAGTGTGATTTTTTCTTACAAGTCTTTACCCTTCAGGTTTAATCAGGGATCTCAACGTGTGACTGGTTTTGATCAGCAGAGCAGGGGAAGGTGCTGGAGTGCTTTATCTGAGTGGAGAACGGCAGGATTAAAGGTGCAGGTGTTGCTGGGAAAACCGAAAAGGGGAGAAGTCATTGGGCGCTCTGCAGACATGTCACATGGGCAGAAGGGAACATTACGAAGCGTGCTTTGGGAATGTTCACTTATTAAGCCTGGGAAAGGGCCCACAGTTAAAACATTAGCATGGATTAAGCATGGCAACTGGTTTTAATTAGAACACTATAGAGGTAGAATGAATAGAACTATGAGTCCCCATTGATGTATTTTAGGTTTTAATGTTGTTGGGCTAATGGGAACACTGACATAACATTACCATCTTCATTCCACCTTTTCCATTGTGCATGTCTAACATTGTCAAATATTAATGCTAATGTCTAAGATTACCATTAGTGTGTAGGCTACTGAAACATTAAGGGGATTTTGAATGAAATTCTCCAATACTCAGTAAAGAGACTAGAAATCAGAAAACATTAAATGTTTATGGTAGAAAACAATAATGAAGGTATTTATAACGGCGGTATTTGGCCTTTAACCAAACTATCGGATAAATATTGGGTAAAATCATATGCATACGAGAGAAAGGCCTGGAAAACATTGGAAGTGCTACCGGACCTGATGGCACATCAGCCAAGTATAAGTGTGTTCCAGAACTGAGGGACTATTATAGCTAAAATTAAACCTGAGAGGCCTTTGAGGACAGTAAGGGTTCATGTAAAAATTTAGATGAGGATTCAGTGGATGATTTAAAGCTTCGTATTAGCTTAAATTTAAAATGTAGCTTTAGTACTTTATAAGCTTAAATAGCTTAATTTTTAAATGTGCAATGCCTCCTTCTTTGCTCCAATTTCTGGACAGATGTTATCAAAACTTTTTTCATAAATTACAGACTCAGCTGGAAAATATGGGACATATAAAGCCAAATACCAATAAGTAGCTAAAGGGACACTAAACATTTTTGAAAGATGATGGTGATGGAGGGAATCCAGAGCAATACTTGTAAAGAAGGCATTACAGAAATCTAGTGAAAAAAATCACAGCATGGATAAATCTGTATAAGTCTGGTTTCATACTGTGAATTATTCAATTTTTTAAATAATCTTAAATTGAAAGCAGTGTTCATCGGAACAGCTGAATCAAATACAACACCCACATTTCAACAACAACCACTGGCTTGGTATTTTTTTAAATGGCTTCCAAGAAGAAGAATTAGAACTGGCCATAGACTTTCTGTTTGGTCATTGTTAAGTTTAAGGAGGTTTTTTTTCCAACAAATTTAAATCGTCATCAACAAAATGATTATCTATATTATGTTTATTAAATATTGTACCCAAGGACAACATACAAAGACCTTTGTGACCATGGTTACAAAAACAAATGCACAGAAATGTTTGTGGAACAGTTAAGGATAAAAGTCAATTTCACAAGAGAAACAGACAGCAGTCTACTTTAATTGCTGCTTAAAATATAACCATGGGTTATGCAGTCAATGCTCAAACTTTGATTAACCATCGGAGTCAGCATTCAGTAACGCTAACAAGCCATGTTGTTACAGGCAAGATAAAGGCACTGATCTGGTCATGTTGGTTGCTCACGCTGACCTCGTCTTTTGGTCCTTCAGGCTCTCCGTACAGAGATAAGATCACTATTGCCATCCTGCAGCTTCAGGAGGAAGGGAAGCTGCACATGATGAAGGAGAAGTGGTGGAGAGGAAATGGCTGTCCAGAAGAGGAGAGTAAGGAGGCCAGCGCCCTCGGAGTGCAGAACATCGGAGGGATCTTCATCGTCCTCGCCGCCGGACTTGTCCTCTCCGTGTTTGTGGCTGTGGGGGAGTTCATCTACAAGTCCAAACAGAATGCACAACTTGAAAAGGTAAGAAACACCTCTGACAGTCATCTTTGCTTTGTTATTTAAAACAATGATAGCAGAATTTCTTACCATAACCACGTTTGCCATGGAAGATAGTCTCATGGCAAAGACGAAAAGATATATAAATGTTAACAAAATGAAACAACATATATGCCAAATATAGTTATTTTTATACTTTCTAATAAATAGATTAAATGGATAACCTTTTTGGGCAATTTGTGGAAACTCACTATAATGACAGTGCTATTTCATATGCAGTAAGATAAGGTTTGGTTTCTTTGCATTTATTCACATAGGCCCAATGGCGACAACGAGATAAGAAACGTGAGGAATTCTGCTGTCACCATGGATCCAAGCTAGACTTTAACCACCATCACAAATGACCTCAAGTGAAACTCCAGAAACTTTGCTTTTCTATTGTAATCTAACATGATCTAAAACTTCCCAAAACCACTGAATTGTGTTTTTCTTTCTGACACTCCTGAGGGAATGGGAACATGATTGGAGTGCTGGTAGTAATATACAGTTGGACCATGAACACTTGCACTGCAAATGTTTGCTCTGGTGCATGACCCACGTCTTCAGCAGCCACATCCACTAACCCGCACCTCCCCCAATCACTTCCACTGTCCATTTCCACTCTGCAAACTGTCATCCTGCCTTTACTGCAACTATCCTCATTCAGCTCACATGTACAGGAGCTTTTCTAGATCAGTGCAGTTACACAACACAAGACTTTTGTTTGACTGGAGCTTCCCAGCAAACAATGTGACACTGTATAGTTGCTGATATAATCACCTGCACCATTGGAGAAATACTGCAGGGCGACTGTATGTACAAATAACTATAAATGGAAACAATGAAATTACTCCTTGAGTACATGTGCCTGGGGTGTCAGCAATTGAGATCTAATCTCATTGGTTATGTTCAACAACTCATTGTAGAACACTATACAAAATATGAGTACATTCAATTGATGCTGTGGCTGAAGCTTGTATTATTTCTGATGCAGACTTAACCATCTGCCAATCATTTCTAAAGTGTTTACTACTTTACCCAAGGTCTG